GTGCCCAAGATCCTGAGAGGAGAATGGAGGAGAAGGGATTGCGGTGTGACCATCCCCCCTGGGGGATGATTTCTCGCTTTCTGTCTCTATGTCTCTCTGTCTGGTGAGCGCACGCGCCCTATAGCGAAAACCTCTCCAAATAAAAAAGAGGGAGAGAAAGAAAAAAAAAACAAAACCGAAGTTCTGGATGTAGATGCAGCTTTGCTTTTTGTTTTTGTCAGTGTCATTGTTGTTTTCTCTATTCATGACACATTTGCTTACACGTGTATGTGAGCAAGGGGAGCACCCCACGGGGCCCGGCTGTGCCTCAGTTCTCTTCCTGCTGTGCCCCACTCCTGGATCCTGGGCAGCCACACACGTGTCTGGTGTATCTTCAGGTCGAGCAGGCAGGGGATTGGAGCCATGGTCGCCGTGTGGAATCTGGCTTTTTGTGAGCTGTGTCCCGCTGCTATGCCAATGAGCTGGCACCCTTTTATTTTTTAAAATTGTGGTCAAAGGGCCCAGCAGATGGTATAATGTTACATTACTTAAAACTCACCGGGTGCGTGTGCATGTATGCCTAAAATCCCAAGAAGAGAATGGAGGAGAAGGTATTATGGTGTGGCCATTCTCCGGGAGGGACGTGAACCTGGACCTTTGCCATGTGGATTGGTCTTGCGGGGCACTGCATCGTACTGCTGCGCCACCCCCAAGCCCTCGGGTGAAACTCTTGTCATTTTTCCAAATTTTGCCATAGGGCATGTGTGCTCACCGTAGAGAGCCAGAGGGAGAGTGAGAAACTGCCACGCTCTGTTTCCCAGTCTCCTGTCAGGGTTTTGGGGTTGCAGTTCTTGTGCAATGACGCCCTTGTTTTTATTAGTTGCTGCACAAGCTCCCAGAGCCCCAAGCCAGGCAGCCCGAGGGCCCGGCCGAGCTCGGGCTTGGCCATCCAGGAGGGGCTGTGGATGTGAAGCAGGCACAGAAACCGGGGCAAGGTCGCAGACCAGCCGCTTCTGGGCCGAAGGCAGTGCGCGTGTGCCGTCGTGAGGGCCGGGAAGGGGCAGAGAGCTGGCCAGATGCAGAAGGGAGGGGCCCAGCCATGGTGGTGTGGGTAGTGGGGCCCTGCATTATGCCGGAGGCCCCACTGGAAAGCTCCAGGTTTGCGCCCGGATGCACCACAGCGCAGGGTGCATCGTGACCCTGGAGGCTGAGAGCAGGGAGGCCTGCCGCAGGAAGGCACAGTGGAGGGCGCCTGTCTCTCTCACAGAGGAGATAAATTGAAGGACAAGGGAGAGGGCAGTGGCAAGCACCCAGGCAGGGGGTAGGGGGCAGGCCTCTCATTCCAGGCCGAGGAGCTCGGAGAGTCTCACGGGCAGCAGGGAGCTATAGCTGGGCTTTGGGTGAGGGAGGGACTTGGCCAGATCCAGCTGCCGAGTTGTTGGGAGCTGCCTAGAGGCAGGAGGCCAGGGCGGGCCGTACTGCTCCTGTATGTCCATCCAGTTTGGGAGGGTCTCCCTGTCAGGCCGCTGGTTGGTGTTCCGTGCCCCTAGCAGGGGCTCCAACCACTGGCTGGGGCGCCACGGCCTGGGCCTGCTGGAAGACTCAGGTCGGGCAACTTCCCAAAGTACAGGCCGCACGGAGCACAGGCCAGGCGGGGGCCGTGCCCGCAGGGTTCCCATCCGTCTCGTTTGCCCGGCTCGGTTTTCAGGATCTACAGTTACTTTGGGCCGAATTCCCCGGATTCCAGCCGGCTCCCAGCCCTGCCTGTCCAGATGCTCTTCCTTAACGCCGGCCTGGGGCATTTCTGCCCATTGTGCGTGGGGATCGGGGCCTGGCAGATTAGGGGCAGGGGGGGCAG